GACGGCCATCTTGGGACTCACCATTAAACAAATGAATTGGTTAATGCTGTTTAAGAAAATAATGGCTGTTTATTTGTAAAAGTCATACGAAAGTTATAACTGAGCTCTGTAGGCTAAATGCAGAGTTACTGGTGGTTAAAGCAGGTGGTATATATAGTTACGGTTGTTCTCTAAAAGGTTAACTGATTTACATGTTCGCATGGATATATGTATTAAAATAAAGCAGGTGGTATATATAGTTACGGTTGTTCTCTAAAAGGTTAACTGATTGACATGTTCACATGGGTATGTATATTAAAAACAAACACGTCACACCTGTCTAAAACGGGACCATTGACGGCCACCGACACCGTGAGATTTAGGAGGTAGGTAGCACTAAAATAGTGGGAATGGCGTTTTATATTAATTCTTCCTGATTTTACAGAATAGGCATTGATACTGTTCCATTTAAGAATTTCTTTTGTGAAATTATGAATCAGAGACACTTATTAATCACCTGAAGCCGAAGCTGGTATAAAACTTAAGAATTCAGCCCGTACCGCGAAGAAAACACAACACTAGACCGTTACAGAAATCAGTTGGTTTTTGCAGTTTGTACTGAGGATAATACAAAAACATTAATACAAAACGAAGATTTGCTGATTGTTGAGGCGGGTGGAAAATATAGTTAACACGTCCTTACACAGAACACTTCAATGTACACATACAAAATATGTAAACGAGGACATAACACCCATTTGTTTACAAGGAATCATAGTTATGCTTAAGGCTTCATAAACCCCTTCAAAATATATTCGTCCTGACCTGCTCGTCGAAGCGTTTCAAAATCGATAGCTTGTTGTAACTCGGCTAATCTCCGTTTGCCTAAGTTTTACATTACGAGACGATAGGTTTATTTTTATCGGGATGGAACGTGTTGCAGAGGGGGAAAGGGTGAGTAGACAGACGGCCGCTGCTTGCTTGTTTTTTGTTTCACGCGTGATCACACTCACGTGGTGGCACACTTGTCGCTCGCAATGACCTCACGAGGGCTGCGTCCCAATGATCGTACACCGCTTTGGTACATAAATCCTTGGACCTCGTATTTTATAAACTAGTGGTCCGCGGACCGGTTCACACATTCTAGTGAGGTACAATGTAAGAAACTGTGTTGCACATTGCAGAATTTTTAATTTCTTTTTTAGCTACAAAGCAAATTCAATATAATTTTTATTTTTCCACGAGTCAGTTAATTTACTTTGAATACTGCAGTAGTAGTAAGAATATTTGTTGATTATTATTTGTATTGTAGGGATTACAATGTGGGGGGGGGGAACCACTGGTGTTTTATCGCTCCTTGAATCATAGACATCCATCCGTTACCTCCCAGGACATAATTAAAAATATTTGCATGACTCAATGTGTGTAGCCGGATTTCTTGTGGAGATTACGGTTGGTCATTAAAATTCCTGCCGCTAGATTGTGCTGTAAGCCAGTTGCATCGCGTAGCAACTTCGCCCCAACTTTTGTAAGATTCACTTTAGGTTTCTCCATATTTTCCTGAATCTCAAGTATCCTTCACCTCAGATTTCCGCTCAGAAATGTTATATACAAACGTTAATTATTATTTATTGCATTGGTGCTGGAAACAGTAAGCACTTTATGATACGTCGAAGTTTCTGCCAAAACACACTAAGCTCGTCTAAATAATATATAATAATTAAGACCGTACCGCAAAGAAAACACAACACTTCACCATTAGTAAGATAAACTAGAACACCGTTTAAGGAAGTAGTCGTTTTTTTATTATAAGAATTGTAGGAAATATGTAACTACACTCTGTGGACAAAATGCATAATTATTTATTAGCAAAGTAGGTGGTACATATGCTTACCAATGACTTTTAAACGGCTAAGTAATGGATATGAAAATACAGTGTTTATAAAGCAATTTTTACGTTATTGTTTTGTTTTACGTTATCACATACGAAACGAAATTGTGTTCAGTGACAACGCAGTTAGCTGTTGTAATTTGAATTACCCATTCGTTGACTTCGTAAGGTCATGGCCATTCGACAGAAGGTTTTGACACTGGGCGATTGATTGCCTTCAGACAGAAGGTAAGGATACTACAGTCATTCGCAAAGTTGCTAAAATAAAGGATACGTACAAGACGTAACCTAGAAGGTCGCTGGTAGTCTGGATGATAGCCTAGCATGAAGAATGGGGAATACGAGTGAACAAGACGAGGCCGGACCGATCGATAGCAAACCTTGGAAGTCACGCATGCGCAAAGCACCACAGTACGATTTGTATCCGATGCGGGTAACGAATTTCAATGCCGTGCAAAATGAAAGTGGAGATCGCCTGTGTTTTACAATATTGAAACTGTGGAAAGAAATTGCAGCCGAAATGAATACGAACAGTAAGTAATTTTTATAAGTAAGCTCACAATAATGTGCCCGTGCTTTGTCAGATTGACGTAAATTCTGTGGGCGCCGATGCTTACGTGTTGTAAACAATGAAATTCATTCTATTTATTTTGAATACATTGTTACAGAAGATCCGTGCGGAACATGTCAAAATTTTAAAGTCACGGTCAGGAGGAGATGCTTCCAGCTACGTAACGCCAACGTGGCCATATTATAAACTACTGCTCTTTGTGAAAGACCAGATTAAGAATAGAATTTCACAAGCCACGCAGCCAGGCAATGAGACACGGGAGGAGGTTACTGGCGAAGAAGTTGAATGCGAGCCACGTGTTTCACTACTACAGAAGGCCCTCAAGCGGCCCAACACAGTACTTGGAGAAGGATTTGATTACCCTAAACAAAAAAAATGCAAGGAAATTGAAGGAGTTTTCCAATGAAGATGTTAGTTGTTTTTTTTTTTGTTTTTTTCGAAAGTCTACTGCCTCACGTTGCCAAAATTACGTCGGAGAGGAAATTACTTTTCCGGTCCAAAGTTCAAGTGTTGGTACATCAGTTTGCTTATGAAAGATCTTAAAACAGCCCGACGATCGTGCCTTATCCCTGATTTACCCAGATTCACTGTCTCAGCAGTCTTCTGAAACAGTACACGCAGAACCTGTTGAATTCGAAACTCGGGTCACGAGTTACAGTGGCGAGTCATTTTTGCACATGTAAAGCTTAAACTAAGATTAAATTAAGACTTTTTTTTACAGTTTTTAGTTGTTAAGCAAACTTAGTACATTTGCGTTTTCTAGAAGCAATCTCAGGTTTTTTTTTAAAAAAAAAATCATTAATGTTTTGTAATTTTGTTCAGTTAAATGTAAAATACAATTTCTGTGTTCAGGATTTCAGTATTTACTCTCAATCTCCACGGCTTCTGCTATGCTACCTTCACGGCTATTAGACGACAAATTTTAATGAGTTTTATATATCGGAAATGAAACTATTCGATTCCTATGTATTTTCGTCCGATAAATTCGAAAATGACAATAAAAAAGCTTAGTTAATTAGCGTTTTGAAGATATTTTGTACTTTGTTAAATATCACCAATAAATTCGTCCATATGATATGCAAATGTTTAAAAAAAATTCACCTATATTTTGTATTTTACCTCAGGGGCATCTCTTACCACCGACCAGCAGTAATCAGCTCCATTTCCCCCGATAACGCCTTTCAAGAGAAGAAATATCTTTGGTGAAATCGTTCGTCACAAACCGATCCAAGATTATCAGGAGAAAAGTCCAAGTGAGAGTGGAGGAAATGCATTTTAAGAGACATTGCACCCCATTTTACTGTATGCTTTCAACAATTTGTCTACTAATTCCCTATAGTTTAGCGCCCTGTTGTCTCCAAGAAAATTCCTTCTTTGATTTTAGCCACGGTGGTCTAGCGGTTAGAACGCTTGCCTTGTAATCCTGGGGTCTCGGGTTCGAATTTATAACTTGTGTTGGGCAAGGCCGTGGTCTAGGCAAGTTACCTAAAGGCTTCTCCATTTCGGTCCTTCTACAAAATTTGTCATCGGACCCAATTTAATTTGCAATGCCTTATCCACCCTTGTACAGGCTGTTTCTGAAGTAAGTAGTCCATTACAATTACGTAAATTTGAGCGAAACAGCTTGGTATGAATATATTCGAAATGCGGATCAATCATGCAAAAAATGAATGTCATTTTCGTGTTTAGCAGCTCAGAATTAGTTTAAATTGGTTAGCTACCGGCGACCTTCTAGGCTCCGTCTTGTACGTACCCTAAGACAGCAAACTATCGTATGTGACGTGCTTGCATCTTACAGGGAATGTACATGCATCGGAACGCGACCCCGAAATCCTGCCCGTAGTAGGCAATTAGCCCCAGGCTAGACAGAGGTTTCGACTGTCAGTAGTAGATGCCCTCGATGTCCTTCAGATGACACTGATTTTAGCTGCGTTTGCACTGTATTCGTTATCGCCTTCAGTGCAGTTGCGCTGATCGTGGCATCGGCAATGTTTAAAACCGGATGGGGGAACGTATTTTAATACCATTTTTAAGGGCAATGTTTTTGTATTGTAGTTTCAGTTATAAAATCTGATAATTCTCTCTCAAGATTATATTTTGTACCCTTCAATATGAGACAGAGAGGGAACCTGAAATTCTTTAATGATGATGGATTGTCTTCAGGGATAATGACCGACATTTCAGAGGATCTTGGCGCCTCCATCGCCCATAAAGATAATCATCATCAATCTCGTGGTCTTGAGAACCTAACTTCACAAAATTCGTATTTCTTTTTACCAGAAATGTTGAGGACTGCGTGATAGTTTGGGTTGTCACGTCGTGATAGGTGATTACCAGCGTTTCGGAGGGACATGTCGTCTCCATCTTCAGGATTTAAATGTGTAAATTTCCTAAAGAAAATGTTGTTCAAAGAGATAGGTTAATTCTTTTTCAAGCTAGATTTGTAGTCTTGTTTTGTTACATATTTTCTTGATGGCCTCAGGGCCAGTGCACGTGAAATTGGTGCCCCCTAGACGAAATTTACCCCCCTCCAACGTTCTTTCCGATATTGAACTTGAGTGTGAATAAAAATTTTGCATTTATAATAACATGATTTTTTTATTCGTTCAGTTTGCGTAATGAATAGACCAACTTTGGATGGTTTTTATTTGGTATATGGTGAGAAGCTTAAAATAGTAGGACGAAAAGATTATCTACTGTAGGCTTACTGGTTTGAGATCCCCAGAAATATCCAATGAGAAGGCTAGAAACAATGTCAGTGCCTCCCCCCATCTCCATATAGAATGGAGTAATGTGTCTACCATTTATTAATTTATGTACGATATGCGATGTAGTCTGGGATTTGAAATTCAAAAGACTATTGGACAACGTGACAAAGTGGGCTGGAACTTTCCTCCGTAACATAAGCATGACAGACCAACGTGAGCAATGCTACAAGTCTTCATTTATAAAGCTAGAGCACCCCAGATTTCGATCAGTCGATAAATATCGCTTGCTTGTACGGGGTGTTGGTTGTGTAACATATTAGTTATGGTGACACATAGAGCAACAATATTAGACCAGCAAATACTCTTAGCAGCAAAATCTCCAGTGATAAATCGACAGTGTAAAAGACGATTACTCCATAAAGAGGTACGATTAAACATCAGGACGTAGGGGATATCACAAGGTCGCTTTAGTCGTGTGACATTGAACGTGATATAAAAAAAAGATAGTGTATTCGCATTCGAGTGCGAAAGTTTCGAGATAGTAATGTTATATCGATTGGAATCGAGAGTTATAAAATCGAAACCATGGCAGTTAAATGAAAGTTGTTGGTAATGTCTTGGTAATTGAAGAGGAAGCCATCGTCGTCTTAATATTGTGTTTTTTTTTCAATAAGTTTTAAAGACACATTCAGCCATGTTATTCATTATTCTTCAGTTGTCATAATTTAGTCAATGCCACAATATACAATTGACATCAGTTTCGTATTTCCAGGCATTTGTGTATTACTTTTGTAACTCAATTAAAATACATTATGAATAGTAGTAGTGATTTTGGTTTTTGTGTGTTATGTACAAGTACTGATAGTAAAAATAACAGAATATCTTCTACAGTCAATCTTACGTTAATAACATTTCCCCCCCCCCCAAAGCGTAGTATTTCATTCAGAAAGGTGTTTCAAACAATAGTATACAAAACTCATAATTTGTTAACATTTATTCACAAATGAACAGTACCAGTGTCATTAATATTGATTTGTTCATCACGAAATCTTTCCTAATTTAATTTTTTTTTTTTTACGCAAAAACTTCCCCCAGCCATCTCCATATTAATAACTGCGTAGTTGAGTTAAGAGGTTATGTTTTGAAATCGAGACATAACCTACTTACTACATGCATTGTAAACTGGATATGGAATTGTTTGATATGACTTAAATCTGTGGCAGTTAAAATGGTTAAAACTTCGTAACATAAACTGTTGTTTTGCTAATTATCATGGAGAATATACAAAAGAGTTGAAAAAGGAAAATAACATTATATCATGGAGAGTATTGTAAAAAGTATGTCTGATGTTTTCTTGGTTTCCAATTCCTTAGAGGAATATGTTGTCTCCGTCTTCAGGGCTAAAACCTCTCACGTTGCAAAATATATGTTTCAGGATCCAATGTCACACCGTATCATTGAGAAGAGGCGACGAGATCGCATGAACAACTGTTTGGCCGACCTTTCTCGTCTTATTCCGGCAGACTACCTCAAGAAAGGACGAGGACGGATAGAAAAGACGGAGATAATCGAGATGGCAATCAAGCACATGAAACATCTTCAAGGTCATGCTTGTCGGCAATTAGGTAACTTCATATTCATTGTATGATGATTCGTGTTAAAATAGAGCGAGATTCTAAAATGTAAATAAATTGTTTATTCTTAAAATATATAATAAAATACAGGTCAATACACAAAACTATATTTGGGTGTTAAAATTTTAAATTTTAAATTTTAACACCCAAATATAGTTTTGTGTATTGACCTGTATTTTATTATATATTTTAATCCAAAACACAAACATGACGCATGAAAACCTTAAACTGTTTATTCTTAACTCTATAAATTAAAAAGGGTACTTGTGGGTTATCGGGACACGTCGCTTTAAAAATAAGTTAGGTTAGGTTAAGTTAGTATGTGTGGATAAATGACGTATACTTGAAAGTTATTATATTTTATTTAAATAAATGACATATTTTATTTGGATATGCATTAGATGTTAATTGTTGTTACAACCTGTCTCCCGAGGATAAAATTCGCTTATAGATTTTTAGAATCGTTTTAAAAATATCGCAGATAATAATAACAACAGAGTATACGGGTATACGCATGCGCGGTTTTCCGTCCAATCCAAGTCCAGATATTCGACTCTCACGTTTTGTGTCCCGAGAACCAACAAATACCAAAAAAAAAGTCTGTATGTCCTTATATTCAGACATAAATGAGCTGAGAATTTGTGTTTTACAACATCTGCTGATTTAAAAAGTATTACGGCGTATACTTAAAAGAATATTTAATGCTATAAAATGTAATGATAGGGGAAAACATTTATATATATTTACGTGCGACATTAACCCGTACTTTATCGTAAGTGTAGGAAATGATTTTGCATCTTACAGATTCGTGTGAACTTGCACAGCAGCAAAGCCAGGAAGAAGGAGTTGAACCACACCCAACCGGAGGGCCCATAATAACCGAGCATTATCGACTCGGGTATCAAGAATGTCTTTCAGAGGCGATGCATTTTCTTGTTGAAGTCGAGGGCTTTTTTGCTGGTGATACGCTGTGTGTTCAACTTATTAACCATCTTCAGAAGCACTGCGACAAGATTCTAAAAGGTGAGAGGAATAATATATACCTAACCTGATCTCCAAGTACAAATATTTATTTAACTCTCACGTACATTAGGATTGATAAATGAAAGAATTCGAAAAGGAAGTAACGGCATGGAAGGGGCAGGGCACATCAGAAACAAGAAACTGACATTGGAACCACGGTTCCCTAGTGAAATAAAATTTTATTTACACATTTACGTATACCTTTACGTCTTATCTATACGTGACACATCCGCCGACATCTTGTACTCAACACACACTAGAACCGTTCTTTGTTACCAAATAAATGGGCCAAAACTCCTAAACCGTAAGAGTTAGCTGAAATCTGTTTGCAGATTTGGAAAGCTCGTGTTTATTTACGTATTTCACTCGCGATATGTCCAGATCTAACTCTTACGCTTTAGACGTGGCGAGCGGTTGAAGCTGAACGAGGTCTCGAGTTATTTGCGTTTGAAGAAGTTACAGTACACACAGATAGAAGAAAAACCCTGCTAGGAATTCGATATACGCGCATGCGCAAGATTTCGCGGCGAGTGACGACCGATCCTAAAAGCATTCGTTCCACAACCACCGAACGAACAACAGACAGTGGCACAGCGATTTAATCTAGAATATTATCGCAACACCTGCAGAACACATTAAAGGTGCACTCACTCACTACAAACTACTCTTTACTGCGTGATGTTTTCAGTCTATGTGTAGTAATGTAACTCTGTGGCGTGTCACACTTCAACCAATAGCAGCCCTCTACTCCAGCTGATAAGTAACATTCCCCCCCGCACCGCACCAGAAACGACTTCACACAGCAGGGTTTTTCTCGCCATCTGTGGACAGTACGTGTTGAGTCACGTACTCAACACACTCTTGAACCGTTCTTTGATACCAAATAAATGGGCCAAAACTCCTAAACCGTAAGAGTTAGCTGAAATCAGTTTGCAGATTTGGAAAGCTCGTGTTTATTTACGTATTTCACTCGCGATATGTCCAGATCTAACTCTTACGCTTTAGACGTGGCGAGCGGTTGAAGTTGAACGAGGTCTCCAGTTATTGGCGTTTGAAGTTCCGTCGAGTGTCCCGTGATCTTATAAACGTTATTCAACGTTAAAAATGTATTATTCCATTTTGTTACTCTTCTGTAGGTGACAGGTTGAATTTTCCACGGATGCATCACGGTGAAACGACAAGCACGTCGTCCAACAGCAGCGGGAGTGGTGGCTACGGCAATCACCACGGCAGTAGCGTCCCTTCTGGGTCATCTGGCCTAAGTTCGAGTTCCCCAAATTCTGGATCCTGTAGTGATTCTGGACGAATGGATAATAGGGACTCTGGAATAGCGAGTGGCATTCCATCTAGTCCTCCCCAGCCTGTTACTACAATTCTTTCAACAGGTATTCGACTGCACATGTCTGTTACTCTAGTATTCAAATTTCCTGTAATCCATGGTGCACCTAGAAGAATTTCAGGGTGCCCACAAGTACTGCGTAATATTCATAGCGAGATTTAAATGTTTAATCGCGTAATAATTTGCAAGACAGTCACGGTGGTCTAGCGGTTAGAACGCTGGCCTTGTAATCCTGGGGGTCTCGGGTTCGATTCCCGGCGGTGCCCGAATTTATAACTTGTGTTGGGCAAGGCCGTGGTCTAGGCAACACGGAGTTTTCCTCCGTGGCATCCCAACAATTACTCCATTCACACACAGAAGAAGTCAATGGCAAACCACTTCTGGATCATCTGCCAAGAACGTATATGAACAGGTCCCAGTCCGAGAAAAGGATGGAAGGATCCTGTTCATAATATGTCGCCAACATCGTGCATTTTTCCCCCTAATTTCTCCAAAAACTTTTTTTTAAAAAAATATTAAGATTGTTTTTACATACTTTAATACAGACGTTGTAAATTACGTTTATTACAGATGTTGGCGATAACAGTTGCTGCGAAGATAGTATCGTAAACCTCCACGGATCAAGCCAGCTAAGAGAAATGCTTACGAGTTCAAACCTGACATCACTCCATGGAAGCCAAACCACAGCCGTCTCGGCCGGAATGCCTCAGACGACCTCGGTAACAGGTTCTCGTCAGCTAATTCAGTCTCCGCCTTCCTCTGTACAGACAGCGTCAAGTCTCCAGTATCCTTCCGCGAGTACAGATCAGAGCAGCTTAAATGGTGGACGGTCAGTCGCGGCGTTATACAAATTTAAAAATAATATTAAACAACGATTCACAGCAGAGCATCATGTAGACGGTGATGAGGCAGTCGCACCTTCGAGTGACTGTTCCGGTGTTAAAAGGAAGCGATGCCTGTTCGAACCAACTCGTGAACACGTGCCAGGAAACAGTTCAGCGAATCCAAAACGCCGTGACAGTGATACCTGTTCCGTCCCGTCATCTCCCCCCTCTCCGCCCACTCCAAAATATTCCCCTTGTACGCCATCTCCACCGCCACACAGTTCATTGATTAATCCTTCTTATGGGGTTCCAATATTCGCTTTACATTCGAAAGGCTCGTTTTATGTTCCGTTGACGTTGGACGCTGAAATCCTGGCTCCTTATTTGGCAGCGGTTGGATTTGGCCCTGATGGTAATGGTATTCAGAATGGAAACACTTCGTCAGTATCAGACTCGGTGGTCCTTCATCCTGTTACTATTTCTGTCAATTTTCAGCAAACAAATCATCACAGGACTCATCATCAGCATCATTCAAGGCAACATAATAATTTCTACTCTTCCGTAACGTCATGGAAAAGGGAACTGAATGATTTTTTACCAATGCCCAAGTGGTCCATATATTCACCTGACAGAAACTGAATTATTATGACACCTTTGATCATACATGTTTTAGAAGATTAACTCATTTTTCAAAATTTGGCAATATTTATTTAGGTATTGCACCCGGCTTACAGTCAATCTTCTATATGCAATAAGAAATTAACCCCTTTCTTTCGAATATTTAATCAGAAATCTCGACATGAAATGGAAGCCATTCTGGGCAACGTAGCATTAATGTAATGACCAATTCAAGTAACCTAGACACAGTATTTTAAATTATTATCAACAGATGGCAACACAATTTTATTTCTTGAGTTGAGTTTTTCCCTTTTCGATCATGTGTTGATACACAATATTCTTGTGAATAATCGCACTGAAAATTTTAATTAAATCATTTGAATACCAGCACAAGGGGTTAATCTCTTTAAAATATTGCTCAAAGTCACATCTCGTACATTATGTTTGAAATTATCTTGATTCATATGTCCTTATTTAACCTAAAAGTACATTTCATACAAACATTGCTATGGATTCCAGGGTTTTGATCGGGATGATATGCGAGGTTTATCATTATTAGTTGACTTCTCAGGCAGTATTCGACTTTAATCGGTGGGGCAGCGTACTTCTACCAGTGTTGTCTTTTATGATATGTCAAATTTTGTATGGCCTCCACATTCGAAAATATGTGACAGTCTTCTGTTTACACTTGTTCCAGAAAGAATATTGCTAGTTTGTATGAGATGTGAATAAAATAGATACTGGATTTTTGTGATATTTTAAGCTGGAAGGAAGAATGTGATGGGATGGTTTGTGAAACAGGTCAAAATGAAGATATGAAAATATTGTTATTTATGTGTAACCTAAAATTAGGTTAACATCAGTTTGAAAGAGAATATTTGAGAACAAGGTAAAACAATATTATAGACGAAGTGAGAGGAGAGTGGAGAATATTTCACAGTTATCAGCTTCTCAGCTTGTAGTCGTCATCAAATATTAGGCTGATCAAATCAAAGAGCCATGAAGTACTCTTCACGTGAGAGAGATGAGAAATGCATACAAAATTTTATTTGGAAAACCTGAAGGGAAGAGACCATTTGGAAGATCTTGAATCAGGTGGAGAGAGAGCTATAATAAAATGGATTCAAATATGGTGGTAGGAGGTCGTTGTGATATTACTGTATGTTCCGAGTATAAATTGTGCTTCTTTCCTGGGTGGTGCTACCTGTGGATATTATACTCTAAAGGCATAGCAGGGTTTTTTCCTCAGCGGTTTTGTCTCTAAAATATAGAATGTCTTATAGGTTAGAAAGTATGATATCCAGTTAAGTTGTAAGTGGCTTGCATATTGTTGGATAACTGATCACAGAATATTACTTGAATTTAAAGATGTCCTTCAGTGTTTATTATCTTAAGCTAACAATTCAGGCTGTGAAGAAATGAGTGACAAGATAGTTTTTATATGTACAGAAATGTGAACTGACTGAGCACTCTGAATGAGTTGCATATTTTAAGAATTTTACTGTTATAGAAACATCTTGTAAATATCCCAGTTTGATGGGAAGATATTTGATGTATTTCATTACATGTATAGCGTTGATGAGTTTTCTACATGTATATATTTGTAATTGTAAAGAGAATATATTAACACAAAACTAAATTAAATTAAACCATTGTGTTTTACTTCGAAAAATCCTCCAATAATAACTCAATATTTATAGTTTCATCCCTGACCATTACATGAGAAAAGTCCCTTGTCCTCTTCCTATTCATGGATAGGAGTGACAAGGATGACATAACAATCATAACAGACCAAAAATAAATGGTTATACATATTTTAAGGTAGCTATTTTAAGACAACGGGAGTCATGATGAATGAAAAATGACAGCTAAAAATATAATGGAGGCAGTAAACTTGGGCAGACAAGCATGAAGAACACCCAAAATCATTAATGACATCCTTATCTATCCAGAAAGCAAGGAGGAAGTAAATTATAAATCTACTAGCCCATTTCAGAAGTGGCACACCCCTATAAAGGAAAGTTGCACTACCACAGTCCATATAAGCACTTGAGGGATGACGAGGTAAGGGCTAACTGGTCAGGGTTACACGCTAGCGGCTCTTTACCCCCCCGGGAAAGGACTCCGGTAACCATTGGATAGGAGGTGTGGAGGGGGCAGAGCCAGTCTGGACACTGAAACTAAAGGAAAAAATCCTCTGCTCTGTCAGAGATGAAACTTTTGTCATCCGCTCTGCAGTCAGTCACTATGCTGGCTGAGCTACCTCGGTTCTCTGCCACACCCCTTCACATCTGAAATCTGTGCTGTTCGAATTTTGCATCAGAAGTAAGGGTTGACAGATTTTCGTGAAATTTAAGATGGACGCTTTACGATAAGAGGATATCATAAATTAAAAATTTCAAGTCGCTAAACTAGGCAGTACCAATGTGATGGGTACTGGAAATGATGGGGCCGTTTCCCATGATCCTCTGGACAAACGTGATGTCACCACCGAACTTGTGATTGATCTTTACGAAGGCTACGTCTGGTTGGTTGTTCATAATTTTGATATGAATGACGTACACGTGGCTATGGCAATGCAATAATTAATTATTCAATGTCTCTTCAGATGTTAGCATGACTTCACTATTTGCATGTAGTGATTTTTTTTCTTTGTATGCTACTCTGTGGAGATTATGCACTGTAGCTGTTTACTCATCCAAGGCAAACTAGGGATTTGTACTTCTATACATGGAAGTACGTTAAATTGTATTATAATCTTACACTAATCAAAAAGTGCAACAGATTTACCTAATATGCTGAATTTTTAGACTTTTGAAACATAAATTCGATATATGAAGTACTGCTTTGAATTTTCCTCATCATTCTTGACTGACAACTTGCTATATTTCATAAGGAGGTTTGGCCATTAATATATCCCTGCCACAGCTTTGGTTTATCTCTGATTATTGCATTCTCACTTTCAGCAAACCTATCAATTATCACTATAACTAAAATAATGAATACAAGAGAAACACGATGAGCTGTTTGGTACCCAATGCCTATATCTGCGTGTTCCAAACGATGGCTTTTAACCTCAGATTTAACTCATCGAATTTATTGTTCCGGATGCACCTTACGTTCCTCAAGGAAAGCAACCCACAAATGCACATTTCTATCACATTATAGATTCATCGGATGAGCACACAGAGGAATCATGGTTAGAGTAGAACAGAATGAAATGCATATTTATTGACAAAGAATTCTGTTTACTCTTTAACTTTACACTGACTAAAGTAAGATTTGTTATGTTGAGTGATGTTTTTAGGCGCTAAACGACATCAGTGCTATCTATGATGTAATTGAAATCTACGTCATCGTGTATGTGTAATGGAAGAAAATGGTGGGTTACATTGAATGATGAGGTATTTGGAATATTTGATGTAAGTACAAAGTCTGATTGTTAAGTTTGTCGAGAGATGCATCTTTGTTGTGTGTGTAGGGTTAAAGTAAAAAAGAAACGTTGAATTTGCTTTGTATAATGAATAATGTTGGGAAGGGTAGGGCTGATTAGGAGGCCATGCCGGTCGAAAACGTTTCTGGGTGGTAAAAGTGAGCTTCACGAGGGAATATTGCATGATATAAAATATTTTGCTATCATTTTATTCTATTTCAGAACTCAGGAAAGTGTTTGTTTGTCAAGTGTACTTGTATAAGATTAATGTATTATTTTACACTGTACAAGGAAATAGTGAATTTAGAACACACTCCTTGGACAGTAATGACACTACTGGTTTATTGGTTTAATGACTGTTGTTATAGCCGGTAACTATGCACATAGAAGCATGGTGTTGCAGAATTTATTTCTGAAGTCTTATGTTGAATGTTTGCAGCTGGTGGCAAATATAAGTAACTGCAGCAGTTAAACATTTTGTTAGAGCCATGTGGATGTATGAAAATATTTTTGGTAGTGTTCTGCCTGCCATAGGTCAACCATCCCACAATTAATAGAACATATTTATTCTCATAAGAATAAAGAAAGCTTGGAATGGAAAGAATGTTATTTATGTATACCACTAATTCTGGGGACTGGGTTAAGATGCTAACCCAGCTGAGACTTTCAGTGTTTTTCCTCAGTTCTTGCAGGCAGATGGTTAGAATAATGCAATAAAATTGGCCACAACTGCTTCCATATCCTCACTAATTTTCTTATGTATACCAGTACATCATTTCTCATTCAGCATTAGTTTATTTAGTTTAATGTATTTATATTTTTATGTTAACCTTTGTTTGTGAAATCAAACGTTTCAAATTGTACTCATCCCTATGTTTTGTGGTTATGACTTATTTCACAGCGAAGACAGTTTGACTAACTTTTGGATCCATGGCCATATATGTTTGTATGGCCTTATAGCAGGGAACTTGGAAGCATTGCTCTAAACCTATTTTGTTTTATGTTGTTTGAATTTCTTTGTTCACTTTAAGACTGAAAGTAATGTGGAAATGACATATTCTGTTTATTTAGTACTTTGAATTACTTATTTTCCTCTTGATAGAAGCCCACAAACAAGAGTTTGTATCTTAAGAATACAGCATTCTTCATTTATGATGGTAACTATCATTTTACACCAGGCAACAATACCGTACCAGTTTTGTGCTTTAAGCTTGCTGCTAAAATTACCATGTATGGTGTCAAAGTATGTAGAAAAGAAATACTGACAAAATAAAAACAAACATGAAACCATTTCCATCAGTTACAGAGTTTCTATAATTTAATAAGATTAGCAGTTGTTAAAGAATTTTTTCATTTTCTCTCCCTAGAAATTCATATCATAGTACAACGTTTTGGGGAATGTATGTTGCATCATTGTTGATGTAAAATTTGAAACAATTTCACTAATCAGTTTGATCCTTGAGCGTGTATGCATATAGTCGGTCATGTTAATTATTAAGTCATGTGCAAAATTCAGTAATTCTTAATGAAAGTTATAAAAAAATATATTAAATGCTGTTGACACACATTAAAAGTATATCTTTTAAGAAACCATTGTTACTGCAACATACATGTGAACAAAAGAACATACCAAGACAAAGTTGTTGCGTAATATGGCTACCAGTAAATTACCCATCATAATATATGATTACTAGAAAATTACTTGTTAAGAGTGAGAGGAAGATTTAAACATTTTTGTTCAGGGACAGGTGAGAGCTCTTTTGACCATTTTAATGAATGATTGGTGTCAACAAAAGGCAGGGAATTTCTTGACTTTCTAAGTGACTGTTGGCTTCTGCTTCATGGAGTTAGTACTGGTTTTAAAGTGTACACATGGCTGGTAACGGAAGAGTGAATGTTAGTAGGACCATCATTTGAATGAATGAGTTATTTTGTGTTACTTGTTTCATACTGATTCATTAGGGTCGTTTTCATTAAGTGGGTTACGGATGAAGTGTTCAGTTGTTGCTGAAATAGCTTTTGATTCTTCAGGTGTGCACCATTCTGGATGTTGTGATGAAACTCTTGCTTGTCCAGCCTGTAGGCTAGTCATTAAACTAAGTTATGCCAGTTCTCGGTTTTGTTCTTAAAGTTTGGAACAAGTATGTGTCTTAACCATTTCTAAATATTTTATTCGTTAATGTGATAATGACAATTGCCATTCTCCCAGCATGAATGAATGATAACTAGGTGGCATAAGATCACAAACTGCTGTCACTCCAAGACTTTTGATGAATATGAGGCAAGAAAATTTAAGATTTGTTAACGGAAAGGGTGTCGTAATAAAAATTTATGTGTAGCCTCTTGATGTTGTAAAGAGGTTTGTATGCTGTGTTGTATGTGACAGGTTGATTGAAAAACATCGCTTAGAGGTTGGTATGAACCTTTGAATTTCATCATCTTATGTATTTGTGTATGTCTTGGTTTTGAAAGTATAGGAAATTAAACCTCTGAGCACATTTTGTGTTCACTCTGTAACATCAGCACCTAATGTCAGCCATTTGAGAAATCCACCAGATGTCTCTGCAGTCTTACTTTATATTCTGAAGGTTATCGTTTTCCTCAGTCTTCCAGGAAAATAGCAGGATCATTTCTTAAATTAGGTCATGCTCATTTCCTTCCGTATTTCTTATTTATAATTTGTTACTTAACTTTTTTTTAACCTGTATAGTCTGAGCTACTGAAAATCCCATCAATAAATATCAAGTAAGTTGAAGAAGCTATTTGTTTGATACTCTCTATGTGTATGTCGGTGTTTTTCAGCGTTTTCAATGCTCTGACACTAAAATATGGTTGCAGACCGTTCATATTCATCACACTCACGATTTTAATTGATATAATTTTTTTGTAATATGAATTACAATTAATTGAACAATCTTATCACATTAACAATAATTTGGGATGGAATGTTAAATGATGAGTGATAATGTAAAGTATTAATATTAAAAATGGATTCTGTGTAATGTCAGTTGTAAAAACCGGCTTATCACAGATTATCCTACGTTGGGTGTCGCCATAAAAGTTTGAGATTTATTTTTGTTGTTTTTAACTTACAGGACTGAATGAAGAGATTTGAATTTATTTAAATAGTGACAGTCTGAAGAGATTGTTTGAATCTGTAGTGAGTTTGGGTGTCCATAAACATGGGGGTGCAGGACTTACAGAGTTTCCTCGAAG